GGGTTGGGGAGGGAGTGGGACGAGTGATGGGGCTAGGGTATAGTGGGCGTGGGCCTAAGAGACTCGGGTTAGGGTTAAGGTAGGGTGAGTTCCAAGTATTGTTGCCGTCATAGGATTGCCGTTACGTTAGGCCGTTTTGACGTCCATGACCTCGACCCCGATTTCCATCGCCACATCCTTGTCCTCGTCCGTAGCCTCCATGCTAACCGGGGTTGCCTTCACCGTAGCCGGTGCCGCCATGTTGTCCGCCATAACCATAGTGAGTACCGCCGTGGGGGTGTCCGCCGGCTCGGTTCGTGAGCAGGGTCATGGTGCCCGAGTCGGCGGAGCTTGTTCGTTGTCGATCCAGGAGCATGAGGGCGAAGCAAACCTGCAGAAATGTCGGCATGGGATCTTGAAATTGCATGAAAGACGTTTGGGCCTGAAGATATGCAGGGAGTCCACGGAGCATCTGAAGAACAAGCTGGTGTTGAGAGACTGGTACATCAACATCGTCTATCTTGTCGGCAAGATTCTGAAGTTTTTGACAATAGGTCGCCATGGTAGATGTGCCCTTGATGGTTGTACGGAATTCATGCTCCAGTTGCATAGCTAGGTAATATTTGTTGTCGTGGAACAAGTCGTGGATGACCTTCCAGAGTGCAGAGGCGGTGGAGACAGAGGAGATGACCAGATCTGAGACTTCATCGGTGATAGTGGAGAGGATCCAACCCTGGAGAAGAGCATCGAGTTGGAACCATTCATCGTCGTCGTCAGAGAGGGGGACAACGGAGCCGTTGATGTAGCCCTGAAGATTGAATCGCCGGACTAAGAGAAGGAACAAACGACTCCACTTTTTGTAATTAGGTTGAGAAAGGCTGAGTTGAACATTGGAGACAGTTGTGAATGCAAGATGGAGGGGTTTAAGGAGAGATTTTGAGAAGTAACCTCACTAACTTCAGCCATGGTTGGGAGGACGAGAAGAGGAGACTACCGGTGGGGAGGGAAGCCGGTGAGAGCCACTTGTTGGGCAGCCGCAGGAGAGGGCGGCACAGGGGGAGCGGCGGGACAGGGCCGAGAGGGTGAGAGAGGGAGAGATTGATTAGGGTTTTGTGTTTTTAGGCTCGGATACCATGTAGAAAGGTTAATTTTCTTGAATATCTGTGTGGGAATACATGTCTTTATATATACAAGTATTACTAATCCTATATTTAATAGATATATTACACTGTCATCGCTTTTCTATCAACCTACCAACGCGTACTCCTACAGCACACTGTCGTTGTACTCCTATTTTGGTCTTTAAAAACTTAAGACTCCTATTTTAGTATTTTTCATATTTTTTAACTCCTATCCAAGGAGACTTCTTTATAGTAAAAAGCAACTCTAGTTGAAAAATGTCACATCACCAGCGACCTATGCATTGACTATGACAAAAATGATATATTATCATTGTAAAATTACACTTTTAATCATCAATATAAAATCAACAGGACAGAAGATCACAAAAAGAACTATCTGTAGAAATATACCTATGAAAGAAGAACCACAAACATAATATTTGATGATGAGGGGATTAAATATGAAAAAATGGTGTTATAAAGGACCTATTATATAATTTACTCTATTGTGTTATATATTCACAATATTGAAATTATAGTTCTTATTTTAGGGATAGAAATATGAAGCTCGAATTTTAATTTTTTGTGTTATACTTCTACTTTTGTCTTTCACCCGATAAGATTTTAATTACCACATCCAATAATTTAGAATTTTTTTTAAATTAAAAAATAAATGGCAAATTAATGAAAAATTTTCTCCATATAGGACTAGATGGTACATTTCAATGAATAGGACCAAGTATGTTTTATTCCATTTATGAAACCTAATTCCATATAATCTGCCAAATTTGCCTTTATTAGCAAGAAGTTTTGGATAATGACTGATTATACGAATCACTCTATAAATATGGTCATTAGTAACAAGTGTTGGATAATGCTGATTATTTCTATGACTATTCAAATTGTTTTTAATAATGTCTTATTCTACTTGAATTGTGTGATGAATCATTTTTCTCAAAGGCAGTACATTTTAAAACTTTTCATTGCGAAACGTTAGAGTAGATAGGACTGAGCTTATTTAAGAAAAAATGATATGTTTAAGTTCTATTCGCGTAAATTACACCAAATTAATTGCAAAATAAATCTAATATATAATTTCTATACTTTACAAGAATTCCTCCTCCCTCCCTAGATGAATAACGTAATCACTAGCTGGCATTACAATAATTTTTGGTGTACCCCATTTGTCCCGCATCCCCTCCATCACCACAATAAAAGGTAAGAAAATAAAAAAAATTAAATAAATAAAAATAAAATAAAATTGAATGGTGGAGAAAGGGGTGGGGGATAAATGGGGTACACCGTGTGTGTGTTCATTCACCATTTCACAAAATAATGAGTCATTTCTCTCTTGTTGTGTAAAACGTAACCTTTGACGTATGTTTTAAACATATACTCTCTAGTCTCTACGTCCAATTTTAAATTGTTTGTTTTAGTTTACAATGTTTGACTAAAGCTATTTTCAATTCAATTTATTTGAAAAATAAAACGGAATTAAGAAATAAAACTTACATATTAAAAAACTACATAAAAAGATTTACAAAACAAGAGGTGACATTATTATTAACTTATCAAACTAGTACATAAAAGAAGAAAAAAAAGTGAATGAAACTCCACCATGTCAATAGAAAACATAAAATTTAATGCGGAACGAAGGAAGAAATTTTTAAATAAAACAAATTTAAAAAAATACCCCAAGCAATTAATTTTACCTTGTACTCCCTCCGTCCGGAAATATTCTTCCCACGTTGACTTGGCACGCTTATTAAGAAATAGTAAAAAAATGCAAAATTTTCAAAAATGCACATACTATAAACTTTTAAATCTTCTTTTATTATTAAAAAAGTACTAAAAAAGTAGATTTGTGATAAAATAGAAGGGTATTATTGATATTTATCCTTAAATAGTATACTATAAAAGGAAATGGGAAGAATATTTCCGGACGGACCAAAAAGGAAAGTGGGAAAAATATTTTCGGACGGAGGATGTAATTCTCTAAAAATCATTTACCTTGTGTGCTAGGGATATACCAAGTGATTATACCAACACATTTGAACACTACTTGTACAGTACTTGTACACTAAGTGTATCACAGATATACCAAGTGATTATACCAACACATTTGAACAGTCGTTGTTTGTTCGTGTCTGTGATACAATTGATGTAAAATTGATTTACAAATCTTCGTATACACCAATATAATCTTTATGTTTAATTGTATTACCCCATCAATGTTCTTTCATTATTATAATTAAACACAAAAAAGTCAAAAGATGGACGTACAACATCCGAAACATAAGGTAACAAATTAATCAAAAATTAAGGGAAACACATTGCATGAAAGAAATTAAGGTCCAATGCCACCCTCTCATCTCTATATATGCTTTCATCACTTTCCAATCTGAAAATAAATATTTTAAATCTAATTAAAGGAAAAAAGTGGCAATGCCTATCCTTATATCATACTGTCATATACTTCTATTTTGATCTTAAAAGATTTAAAACTTTTATTTTTGTATTTTCATACTTTTTTACTCCTATTGAAAAAATATTTTTAAATAAATCATTGAAATTAAAGTAAAATAAGTATTCATCTAAAAATATGAGTGAATTTTTTTATCTTTAAAATAGAACTATTGCATAGTGACAATATATATGGTACTGTATATTGGCATCTCATAGTGTGTTTTGGTAGAATAAATCTATAATTAGTCCTTTATAACAAGATGCGTACATCTTCTATATAATATTCTTTTATGAAATATTACATTTGTCGTCTTTCTATAGGTACGTTACCACGGATAATTCCTTTTCTACCTTAATTCTATCATGTTGGTGTTAAATTGAGGGTAAAAGTATAATTTCTTCACATCGATTCTATGTCTAATAACATACTCTGATATCGATTTGATGGGCAACACAACAATAATGACTATAAGTGTGGACTAGAATTTCAACCAAAGATGGCCTTTGTAGAGTATGATTATAGTAAAAAGCGACTCCAGTTAACAAATGACACATCAGCAGCGACCTCTACATTAGCCCTCAATTTAATTAAAATCAATATGACAGAAGGTAAGAAAGAACTACCCGTATAGAGATATGCATAAAAGAAGGACCACTAACGTAATAATTGATACTGGGAGACTAAATTTGTAAAACCTGTGTTATAAAATTTACTCTTTTTGGTAGTATTTATTGAAATTATTGACATTATAGTTCTCATTTTATGGATAAAAACATACATGAAGGTCCAATTTTAGTTCTTTTTGTATTATACCTCTACTTTAATCTTTTACCCAAGATTTTAATTATCACATCCAATTAATTAGAATATTTTAAATTAAAAAATAAATCGGAAATTAATAACAAAATAAATCTAATAAATAATTTTTATACTCTACAATGCTTCCTCTTCTTGGATAATAAATAACGTTATCATTATTTGGCATTACACTAACTTTTATTTATTCGTGTGTGTTTTTATTGATCATTTCATAAAATAACATAGCCATTTCTCTCTTGTTGTGTAAAACGTAACATTTGACGTATGTTTTAAACATATACTCTCTCTGTCCAGTTTTAAATTTCTTGGAGCGAAGGGAGTAATTTATAAATAAAACAAATTTAAAATACCCCAAGCAATTAATTTAACCCTGTAATTCTCTAAAACTGATCATTTACCTCGTGCTAGGGATACAACTAGATTTGTACAGTACTTGTACGCTAAGTGTATCATAGTTATACACGGAAAGCAATTGTTTGTACTCGGCATAGACACTTATTGTTTGGGCGTGTATTAATTTACAAATCTTGGTACAGATAAAAGACCAAAGTAGGACTAAAACATTGAAAATATACCAAAATAGGACTTTCATGTTTTTGTTCCCGAAATAGGACTTACATTACCAAACGTGGTCATAAACATTACCAAAAAAGTATAGTAATTTGCAAATGTACACTGTCACATTACCACAATGCAAAGTCACATTACCACAGTGCAAAGTTCTATTCTGGAAAAAAAACATGAAAGTCCTATTTTGGTACTTTTCTCTATGTTTTAGTCCTATTTAGGATGATTTCTATCCAACTTTATCTTAATTGTATTACCCCATCAATATTCTTTCATTATGACTAAACACAATACAAAAGTCAAAAGATGGACGTACAACATCCGAAACATAAGGCAACAAATGAATCAAAATTTGAGGGAAACACATTGTTGCATGAGAGGAAAGATATCAAGGTCCAACGCCACCCCGGCCCTCCCATCTCTCTCTCTCTCTATATATATATATATATATATATATATATATATATATATATATATATATATATATATATATATATATATATATATATATATATATATATATATATGCATTCCTCACTTTCCAATCTGAAAATAAACATTTTAAACCTAATTAAAGGGGAAAAAAATGGGGAAGAAATTAATTACTACCCGAAGAGGCTGGGCGGCGGCAGCGGTCGCGGTGGTGGTTTTGGCGGTGGCGGCTACGGTGGCCAAAGGCAACGATTGCACCGACGTTCCTAATTACATGTTCAACTGCGTGGGGTAGTTGTACAACGGGGACGATAAACCAAGCGGTTCTTGCTGCAAGGGGTTCAAGTCCATGGCGGAGAAGGCGAAGTCGGCTACGGGCGAAAGCGCCCGCCTTTGTGGCTGCTTGTGGACGTGGATTACTTTGCCCGGCACGGCTGACTGGAACAAGGCCAAGCAGCTTCCCGCCAAATGCAAGGCTGGGATTAACTTCCCCATTGATTCCAGCCGGGCATCATGTGGTTAATTGGTCCATCGGTATCTTTCTTTCTTTTTTTTTCTTTTGATACCTCCCAATAATAATGAGGTAGCGGGGAAAAGATTGTGTTTCAGAACCCGCTACCTCGGTCCGGCAGGGACTATGTTCGAGTCGCTTTAATCACTCTGTATTTCTTTATTTACTCTGTATTGTTTTCGATTTTTTTTTCCTTGATGCTGTTATTGAACCGATTGAAGGTGTTGAGTACTTCTTTATTATTTATGAGTATCGTTGCATCTCGATATATTGAGATTAATAAGAATGTTCTCTATCCCTAAATCATATATATTTCTTCTCCCTTTACTTCTTCAAACTATTCGTCTAATTTAACCTTTTTTTTTAATCGTCGATTTTGATAAACTCCAATCACTAGTTATACTTCATCCGTCCCAGAAAACCTTTCTCCTTTCTTTTTTCATGCGTCCCAAATAACACTTCTCATTTCTATTAAAAAGTCTCTTTTACCTTTTACTTTTTCATACACTACCTATCACATCATACCTTTTTACTAATAACCTATCCATCAAATCATACTTTTACCCATCACATCAAAGGACATTTTTGGAAATTCAATACCAAAATACACTCCCCTTAAATCTCTCTCCAAAACCAAAACTCTCATGTTTTTCGGGACGGAGGGAGTATTAAATTTGCATTACATACAGTCTAATAAACTGTGATTGATAACAATTAATCTTTTTATGAATAACATTTTCAATGTTTTATGCAAGAAAAATAAAATTGGTTTTAGACTAATCTAGAGTATGTGTAGTAATATGTTACGTAGTATATAACAAGAATTTGCTAGGCCCGTATACCGGATCAATTGAAACCTAAGTCCGGCCCGTATGAGTATCCACGGGCTTTCGACCAGCCCGTTCCACATGGACAACAACTTCTAAATAATTAAAAAATGATTTTTTAAATAAAGTAATGCATTGATATATTAGATGTTTTTTATTTAGTGCTATTTGCACTAAATAGCACTAAAACTATAACTAATTAATAAAACTAATAACTATAATGAGTATAATCAAATAACATCTACTCCTTCCGTCCCAAAAAGATATACACCTTTCAAAAAAATTGCGTCCCACAATCTCGTACCCATTTCTATTAAAAAATTACTTTTACCCCTTACTTTTTCAAACCCTACCTATCACATCATACCTTTTTCCTAATAATCTACACATCACATCCTACTTTTACCCATCACATCAAGGATATTTTTGGAAAGTCAACACAAAATTATCCCTCCCTTAATTTCTACTTTAGTCAAAATGGGTAACACTTTATGGGACGGAGGGAGTAATATATAAATCGTGTTTTGTCTGATAATGTTACTATAATGAGTAACTATTACAGAGTAATAAAGATATATTCTTTTTTAGTAGTGTATTCATTTTATTAAATATATTTATAATTATCTCTTTTTCTTCATAAAAGTATATATATGTGTGTTTATAATAATTTGAAATAGTATTGTTGTTTGTATTATTATTATTAATATTGTTGACGTGTTTATTGAACTGATTGAACTAGCTGAATACTTCTTTTTTTATAAATAACGTTGTATCTCAACATATTGAGAATGATAAGAATGTTCTCCATCCCTAAAGCTTATATATTTCTCTCTTCGCCTCAAGGTATTCTTCTAATTTAATTTTTTTTAGTCGTCAATTTTGATAAACTCTAATATACAGTCCAATAATCGGTGATTGATAGGAGCACTGGAAATACCTGTGAAGCCCGGGGCTTCAAACCTTCTCTCTCTGCCACGTCGGCTTTAACTTATATTACAGTTTCAGTAGAAATGGATTTCAAGCCCCGGGGCTTCAAACTTGGACTTCAAACCTTCATTTTTTAGATTTTAAATACACATCTTTTAAAATTAAATTAATAAAATTTTATTATCTAATTATTTAAAAGAATTGAAACGAAAAATAGTTCATTAAAAAATTACATTCATTAAAAAAATTATATTCATTATAAAAATTACATTCATTAAATAAAAAAAATTACATTCACGATAAACATAAATAAAATACTTGAATAATGATTTTTTGAAGAAAGATGATAGATAGAGATCTGTATTTGTGTTGAATTTTTTTTAAAAAATGATTCAATTATATCGAAGGAAAGAGGAAGAAAAAGGGAGAAAAAGATTTTTTATTTGTAACGACATTATAGCCGTTGTGGGGGGAGGGGGGAATCGTCTACGTCGTTGAAGGGAGGTCTTTGTTCGGACGACGACCTCAACCTCGGCCTCGACGGAGGATCCTTTCTTTGAGGATCCAGCCTCGGGATTGTTGAGTTGTTGCCATTTTGGTGAACGGCTTAAAATTCTCCTAGATGGACGTGCACCTTGCCTTGGTGCCCGTCGTCTTGATACTGGGCCGTGGCAAGCCGGAGAACCTCGGCGCTCTTCCGGGACCAAGAGCATTCATCGTAAGCTCTGATAAATTTTAGGAATTTACTGTTGATGTGGCCCCATTTGGAGGTGAGTTGGTCTCGGGTTTGGTAGAAGGCGTCCTTGTTCATCACTGTAAAGAACTTCTACTTGATACGATCCCACATCGCATCTTTCATTTGTTCGGAACCTTACAAAACTATATAACTCAATGATATTTTTTTAACACAAATATATAAATAAGAACACAAATATATTAAAAAAATATAAAAAATATTTAATACCAACGATAGGATGCTCCGAGACGTCAACCCAATCCGACGCCAACAACGACTATTCCTCTGGCGCCCACTTTTAAATTGACCCTGCCACCTCGGTCATCGGCTTGTCGTCTTTCACTTTATGACTCTGTCGGCGTGCATTTTTTTTGGCTCGGTTTGGCTTCAGGTTGAGTCTCCGAAACTGACTCCAGGTCATCGAGGTTCACCGATGTTTGCGTTTCCAACAACGACGGATTATTCCCGTACGTTCGGTACAACCACATCGCGTACTAGCTTGGCTCGAGACCGTCGAGAGAAGAACCGGAGGGATTCATGTTAACAAAAGTTAAAAAAAATTGAAGAAGATTGAAGAGATGTATGTGAATGAAATGGAAGATTGAAGAAAGATGTGAAGAAGATTGAAGATTGGGGTTTGATATTTATAAAAAAATTAAGTTAAAGATTTTTGTTCAGCTAAAGTAGCCGTTGGGGGTGGAGGAGTAGAGAATAAGCTTAAAAACTTTTAAAAAGAAGAAATTGAAAACAAAACCATCTATAACGTCCTAAACTAAACCCTAAAAGTTTATTTTGGATTAATAAAATATTTGAACATTTGACCATAAATGAAGGGATCGTCAATTTTTTTGAAAGGATTGTAAAGTCAATGTTTGGAAAAATTATAGAATAATCTCAACTTTATCCGGTCTTTCAAAAGTAATTTACTTTTTACTTTGATGGATATTAATCCTAAATTTATCAAAATTTATGAGTTTTGGGCTACCGTTAAGCTGCTAATGGCTGATTAATGGAATCTATTTTGTACAACAAAATGAAAATTGGTATTACTTTTGATGATATTTAGTTTTTTTAAAGGTTTCTTGGAGTTCCCACATTGGAAAATAAAGATGAGTATCACTTGCATATATTGAAAGGTGAAGCCCTACCTATCAGCTTAAGCTTTTGGGTTAGAATTGTGGATCCCAAATTTATATGCAAGTGGTAAATTTTACCCGATACTCTATCCATTGTTTCTTGGCCCGCCGGAATTTTAACAGTTTCTTATATTTTTAAAGTGACTTTCTACTTTCATCATTTATTTTTTTTAAGATTAGTCTTACGTCAGAAACATAAAAAACAAATATAAAAAACATATTAAAGCACACCGGTTGGTATATATATTTAGTTTTATTTCACAAACTAAAAATCTACTCTAATTTGATATGAACTTGTATTGTTTCACGTCATGTCATTCAATAAGTAAAAAAATTTCACAAAAGGTTTTTTATTTAAATTAAAATAATAGGATTAAAAATAGAGCAGCACAATACAAGATTTTTCTTAGATTTTATTAATATTTCAAAAGCATGTTTTAGACCGTAAGTGCTTATTTTATGTTTAAGAAAAACACGGAAGAAAATAAATAAAAAAAGCACTACCTAAACGCTCATCCAAGAAGAAAAGAAAAAGTTCATGCAAAATACCGACCTACTCCTAATGCTTGACAATGATGGAGAAGAAGTATGTATAAAAATGAATAAAACTTAATAAATATGAATGATTATTTAAAATGTGGTTTTTCAATTGCTTGGAATATTACTAACTTTCTATTCACTTTCAAAAATTACAAATAAATAACTCTAAACTACTATAGAATTTATATTGATTTTTAAAATTCTAACTAAACACACTACATTTAAATGCTAATTATATTGTACAGTCAAATATATCGTATATCATGATAAATTTAAAATTAAAAATGTTTCAAAATGAACATTACGTTATTTCAGAATGAACATTATGTTGTTTTTGAATGAACACACTACACCAAGCAGGCTTCATATTTCTGAATTAACACTACTACCTCCGTTCCAGAGTATATGTCAGATTTTGCCTTTTTTCTATCAATCATTTTCAATCTTTGATCTATAATTAAAAATATACGGAGTATATTATATGTAAATTTGATAAAATAATATTTCAAAATGAACATCAAGCAAAATAAACATTACCTTCTAAGGGCATGTTCTTTAGGACTTGAACTCTTCACTTCCAAATTCTTTTAGTTTCTTCCAGTTTTTTCCAGTCTTTCCAGTTTCTTCCAACTTTTCTCATTTTCTTCAAATTCTTTCTACTCCTCAACCAATTAATCTAAAAATGATATATTTCAATGTTATTATTATTATTATTATTATTATTATTATTATTACTACAACTGTTATATACCGTTATATTCATTACTATAGTTTATAAATTATTTTTTTTCATTTCACTATTTTTACGATTCACACTTATTATTATTTTTTCAACTTTTTAATATGAATAAGACATTTTTTTGTATATTAGTCTACATGATAAAACAGGAAAACATTAATATGTTAAATTATACTAAAAAATTATGGATAAGATAGTTATATTGAATGAAAATAAAATGTCAATCATGAAAGAAACAATAGGTTTGATTATGTGACATGTATGATATTTAGAACAAAATCTTTTAATATATAAATTATAATTACAAATATATTATTTATAATAAATACTGCATAAATAAATTGAGGTGCAATATAACTACACAACCTTTTTAAAATTTAATAATTTTATATTTATGCTAACTTTATATTATAATTATTTTTTGTAAAAGTAGTTTTTTGTATTTAAAAAATAAAAATACTTTTTTTTATATCTTAAAGACATTCACTAAGATAACGTGATGATGATGATGATGATGATGATGATAATAATAATAATAATAATAATAATAATAATAATAATAATAACAATAATAATAATAATAATAATAATAATAATAATAATAATAATTTATACCAACAAGAACTTAAAATAAATATTTTTAAAGTTTTTTTTAGGTTTTCCAGTTTCTTTTCAGTTCCTTCCAGTTTGTTTCAGTTTCTTCCAGTTCCTTCCAGTTTTTTCTAGTTCCTTCCAGTTCTTCCAGTTTATCCAGTTTTTTCTAGTTTCTTTCAGTTACTTACAGTTTTTTCCAATTTCTTCCAACATTCAACTCTTTTTTTACAGTCCTACAGAACAGGCCCTAAATGGAACGGTTGAACCTCAAGGAAGATCAAAACCTAACCTCTAGCCCAAAACGGTTCAATAACAGTCCCCCGCCGCCTCAAGGTACAGCTTCGGAAACCCTACTATTGCTCCGGTTACCTTTCTCCCGATGGCCTACTCTCCCGCCACGGCAGGGCAGTACGCCGATAAAATCAGTGAAGCGGCGGTGAGGAAATCCGTAAACGCCCTCATCAAATGGAAGAAACTCCGGTCCAAAACCACCGCAAAAGAGGCGGACGAGGATCGAGACGAAGACGATTTTATCTACGCCGTCGTGACTCTGCGGAAACCCCCGCCCAAACACCGCTCGCCCGCTTCGAATCCGATCAAAATCCCCCTCCCCCATCCCCTCCGGAGCTTTTCCGACATCTGCCTCTTCGTTGATGACAAGCCCACCCTGGTTCACAATTCCCGGACCACCCTCTCGTCCGAGGCAATGCAGAAGAAGATCAAAGCCCTAGGCGTCCCAATAACCCGAGTTCTCAAGCTCTCCAAAATCAAATCCAAGTTCAAATCTTTCGAGGCCAAGCGGGTCCTATCCAAATCGCACGACCTGTTTCTGGCTGATAAGAGGGTGGTTCGCTTTCTTCCTGGTATACTTGGGAAGCAATTTTACAAGAACAGGAAGAGAGTCCCGGTGCCGGTGGAATTGGAGGGAGACAGGAACTGGAAGGAGGAAATTGATGGGGCTTGTTGCTCCACTCTCTTGTGTTTCGGGACAGGGACTTGCAGTGCAGTCAAGGTTGGGAGAGTAACAATGGAGAATGGTGAAATAGTGGACAATGTTATTGCTGCCATAGACAGAATAGCTTCTGTAGTTCCGAAGAAATGGGCTGGAATCAGGGCTCTTCACTTGAAGCTATTGGACTCTGTGGCTCTACCCATTTATGATCCGATATCCGACTCAAATGCATAGCCATTGCTCGTCTGGTCTTCTTCTTCTGCTGAAGATGATGATTCTTGCTGCAATTTATGCAAGTAAGTTGCATTTGGATGTTGTTTGTTGTCTCATTGTCATGGAAATAGATCAGTTTTGGTGTCGGTTATACTGCATACGATAGTTCAGCACTTCAACTGATGTCTTTTTGTGCTTATTATAGTCTGGGTTTTGGAATGAAAAACTGAAATGAAGTGCGTTGAGTTTAGTTTTGATTGAAATGTATGGAAATGGGTAGAACCAAAATGGCAGAATGTACTCAATTGGACTGAACTGTAATGTGTTTAATTGGATTGAACTTCACTATTCAAAGGTTCTTTCCTCTGGATATAAAACCACTGGATTTTGTCATCTTGACCCGTTGACCGTGGCAAGGGGCTGAATTAGTTTTGGCAAAGAAACCCTTTTAATATTATCAAAGGATTTGTGGTTATCCATACTCTTATACGATGAGTATTTAGTAGAAGACTGCATTCAACTGTTTCAACAAGAGTTTAAAGACTATCCTAAACCTTTAGAGAAATGGGAGAAATAACAATGTCTCTATAACACTTCATAAGATAGAAGTTTGTAAGCTTTGGTTGGTGTAGGAAGACTATATGCACTCTAACTCATTAAGGAATAATGACTATAATATGTTTTTGATTTGTTAGTTTATGCAGAGTATCTAAGTAGGCAATCCCAATGTATGTATGTCTTAAGAAGTAAGGATTGTGCTCAAAATAGCTCTAGAAGTTGGATTTAAAAATAATACTAGAAAACTTTTCTACTGGAAGTTTTGAAATTTCAATTAAATGGTTGTATCGCTCGTATATGGAGTATTTTGTCTCGATCAAAAACCCTGGAAATCTATTGAAACTCCGAGGGGCATGTAAGTTTTGTGTGTGTAAAGACTACAGAGATATTTTCGGATGCCGATTTCTAGCATTCGGGGTAAAATAAAGACTGCATTGTCCATTTTACTCTAATTCACTAGGTCTGCTTGTCTTCTTCAACTCATCAAACTCTGCACTTTGATGCTTTTTAGTACTAAAACTTATGGGGATTCTTTAGACATTGTGCATGAAATAAAACATGATTGTGCATTTTGTGCTTCTGTTGCTTATTGTTTCACAATTTGTTTTTTTTTTGTATTTGATTACACAATTTCATTAGTAGCTTTATCTTTGTATTAAGCGAATTTTTTTACTTCTGGGATAATGACCTATTGTAGTACTCCCTTAAATTCCAAATTGTGAATTACGAGGTAAAATCTCTTTTTTTTAAAATCATTTTAATTATAAATTGGTATATCAATAAAAACTAAAAATTATACTCTGTACCGTTTTAAATTGCCTGTTTTGACTTTTGGACATATTTAAGGAAAAGAAAAAATAGAATTGATTTTCCGAAATTGCCATTACTTTTTAGGAGGGGAGACTATGAATGAGAAGATAAAGCGGAGAAGAGTGACTAATTTTAGGGGTAGTTTAGATATTTTACTTGCGAAAACAAGTAACAGGCAACTTATTTTGAGACGGAGAAAAAATATAAACAAATAATTTAAAATGGGACAGATGGAGTATTAAAAGTTCTACAAAATGAGAGATGATAAGAATATTTTATTTTATCAAATATTCAATAGAAACACACAAATAAACAAAAGTTATCGAAATTAGAGAGAAAAAAGATCGTAATCTATATCGGGTCGAAGGAAGTATGAGTTTACATTGAGATCTAGGATCATGGCTAAATTTAAGCCTAGAGCTCTGCCGTATTTATTTTAATAGCTGAAATTATTGTTTCGGAAAGATTTTTCTAAAACAATGTCATGAATTTATCAGTTATTTAATGGAAATTAATTTTAGCCTTATTTATGAGAATTTAAAATTAATTAAGTTAAGCTTTTCTTAAAACATTACAGTAGTAGCTTACTAAAATAAAGTCTTGGCTCTAGGTCGTCATATCCTCATAATACATCGTCTTAGAATATTTGTCTAGATTTCCGTTTTTGTAGTCAAAATTGATAAATTGTGATAATAAATTAAACAGAATTGAATAAAACAAAGCACTATTAAAATTTATCTTTTATCTTTATATATATAAAGATAAAAATAATAGATGTTATAAAAATTTAATATAGAGTATATCCTTTATCCTTTATATATTAAAAAAGAGAGTTGAGCTTCCAGAATTACGACATTTGGCATGCTGACTAGACAATTTTTTTAACACCTCATCATCCATGTCTGCAAGAGCATTGAATGGAAGTTTCATTATTAAAGCTCTTAATATACATAATTACTTTATTATTTTAGAAATAAAATTATATATTAAATTTTAAAAGGAAAACTTTGGCAAAAATGAATATAATTGTATGATTTTTCGTAACTCATTAAATTATTCATACATATTTTTTTATAAATTATAAAATAATGGGAAATTCCATGTGGAGTTTCATATAAATATTTTCACTAACATGGAAAATATTTAAAGGAACAAGGAAAAGGACATATGCAGTTACAAATATTTTAATTAATATTGAAAATATCTGACAAGATAAAATTATTTTTATGTAAATTTGTAAAACTACCCCGTACCCACCACTTTCAATTTTTACTTTTTTCAAAATAAGGATTTATATAATGATTAGTACATATGCTTCATAAGCTTCTATTTTTGAAAAACTATCATTGATAAAGAAAACGGATTAAAATTTTGTCCCTAAGTGATGTTGAATAATAGTAATAATAATGATGATGAAAAAGGTATTTTAATGTTGATTAAAATATAAAAATTTTATAGTGGATTAAAATATACATAAGAAAGGCATTATGGACCAAAGCTTTTATTCTAAAAAGTTATGTATAAAAAAATAAAAAATATATTTATAACGCATGCCAAAAAAAAGTACAAAAAACATTTGTACTTTTTCATTAGATAAATATTAGTATAGTTTTATGTTAGATATTACATATACATATAGAGATGGATCGTCATTGACTATAGCCACGCATAATCAAACCCATTTAAGAAGTAATATATATGCTATGTGACGTCGTGACACATGGTATTTCTATTTGGAATTAAATATTTTATATTTTCAGTACATTTTTTCTAAAAAATTATCTATACAGTGCTTCAAGCACATAACAATTTACACTAAATTCATCAAGCTTTTGTGTGCATAATAGACAAAACATAATTGACCCGTAGGTGCTACCATCAATTCATCAAAATTGTATACCTATTGTAAAGTTTATACGTTAACGAAGAATAAGATTACATTCATCAATGCCCTCTTGCACGGATAGGGACACACAAGCTTTTTCTGATGGGATACTCAAACTTGGAGATGGAAAGCTTGGAAAAGTGATTGATGGAACAAGTGACGTTGATATTTTACCCAAATTCTTGATTCTAGACATAAGTTATCTTCTCAAGAATAACTTATGAAAATAAACCAAATGTTTGGGGATCCTAAACCATAAAATAGTTTTAAAGCGCATGGGGGGAGGGGGTGGGGGAGAATGTTATCAGTGTTATTGTAGGTTTTGTGAAATCAAGTCGGGGAAAAGGTTTATACATCCCATATGAATTTGGCACCATCCGGTCTAGAACTACCCTGAAGTTCCAAAGAAGACAATTTCGAATGGTTTTATGTTTTGCAATGACATTGAACAAAAATCAAGGTTGAATATTGTCATTTATTGGACTATTTTGACCATGTCAGTGTTCACTCATGATCAATTTTATGTTTCTATTTCATAAGTTAATACAAATACACGATTAAAAATATTTTTTCTAGATGAAAATGAAAACCCTTACAACCATACCAAAAATATTTTACACCCTGAGGTTTTTTTTAGGAAATTTAGTATTAAAAACTATGTTAAGTACTTTGTCTTTTTTCTATGTTATTAAAAATTCATGAGAAATATATTATCTTTATTCCAAAAAAATATTGTATTGAAAAAAATGTTAGAATCGAAAAAGATTGTGTTCAACCCGTGCATGGCACGGGTCCAAATGCTAGTTATATATTAAAACTACATGTGAAAATCAATCCAACTATATTTTATCTATATCATAAGTGGATATACTTTTTTATAATTTGAACTTTTAAAATACGACTAAAAAAGTAAAAAATAGAAGATTATTTAAGGCGAAGGAGGTATAATTAGAAAAAATAAAATAATATAAAGGGATAAATTTATGATAGATTGATATATGTGATATAATAAAAAAAGGAACACAGATAATTAATTTTTAATGTGAAACTAACATATATACAAAATATATCTGAAACCTAAATATATACCCGAATCAAAATATAACCGGAACCAAAATCTATCTGAACCGAAATATATCCAAAGCCGATATATTTCTGAATCGGAATGTATTCGAAACCGCAATCGATCCGAAATGTATTTGAACCGAACCAGAACCGAAAAAATCCAAACAAAAATTAAACCAAACTGACTATAACATATATCTGAAAGATATCCAAACTAAATTATTTCAAACTAGAATCGATCGGATTGCCACCTATACTCGAATATATTCTGTAATTTTGAGGTGGATGAGTTGAACCGAATCGAAACCAAAAAAATGTATGGACTTAAATTAAAATTTGAACCAAAATTAAATCAAAGCGATTATAATATATATGCGAAAGATATCTGAATCAATTTTGAAATTGGAACTGATCTAATTGACCCGAGTGTTACTTCTAATCGAATTATACTCCGTTTTGAGGTAGATGAGTTGAACTAGTGACCCCAAGCTTTTTTTAACACCCCCACTGGACACGTTTCTACAAAGTCTCCCTTTATCTTATTTTCCGATTAAATAACGTCAATTAAATAAGAATATACTTTTAATCTGATTCTTAAAAAAAATCGCCCCACTGGAACTTGGGGTGGGGCATGCGGCGGTCTCGCATTGCATGAGGAAAGCTGCGACAGAAGCCGACACGCGCCGGATGCTGGGCGTGAGGGGCGACGGCGCGTTTGCAGCGCCTCGCCGCACCGAGATACAAATTTCAAGTTTTTTTGTAATTTTAACACTATAAATTCATTACTTTTCCAATTTTAATTTATCCTACATTCAAACTCATCTCACCCGCTTTTTCAATTTATCCTGATGTCTCTCGTTTCAATCTAATCCACCAACAAGTTTTAATTTTTTTTATTTTAATTTCATTTCGGTGTATTTTTTTAAAAGTAAATTTTATAAAAGATCTCCAATTATAGTTCGTTTTACATATTTAGTCTCTACATATCAAATATCAATAATTTAGTCCCCAATTATTATATTGTTTTCCACAAATGGCCCTTTGTTAACATTTTCGTTAAAAACATAGAAAAATTTGTAAATTCACGCTTCTCTCTCCTCAATTAAGCTTTCTCTCTCCTCTGGGACAAGATGAGATTCCGGTGGAGTTTTGGAAGCATGCGGGTCGTGGTGCGTGGGTTTGGTTAACCAAACTCTTCAATGTTATCTTCCGGACAGCAAGGATGCCTAATGAGTGGAGGGAGAATCTCTTGGTCCCTCTGTTTAAAGGCAAAGGTGACATTCAGAGCTGCGAGAATTACAGAGGCATCAAACTGCTTAGCCACACCATGAAGGTTTGGGAGCAAGTCATTGAGTATAGGGTGCGGAAAGGGGTTAGCATCTCTGAGAACCAGTTTGGTTTCATGCCTGGCAGATCGACTACAGAGGTCATTCACCTCGTGAGGAGATTTATGGAAGAGTATAGGGCTAGGAAGAAAGACCTTCATATGGTGTTTATTGATCTTGAGAAGGCGTACGATAGGGTGCCAAGGGAGGTCTTATGGCGGTGCCTTGAGACGAGAGGAGTTCCCATCGTGTACACTCGTGCGATCAAGGATATGTTTGATGGGGCTATGACTAGGGTAAGGACCTCCGGGGGCGACTCTGAGTCATTCTCGGTAGGGATGGGGTTGCACCAGGGGTCTGCCCTTAGCCCTTTTTTGTTCGCCTTGGTGATGGACGTCCTAACTCAAGGTGTCCAAGAAGGGGTCCTATGGTGCATGCTTTTTCACGGATGGTATTGTGCTTATCGACGACACACGTGAGGGACTAAACGATAAGTTGAAACTATGGCACCTTGCCCTTGAGACTAAACGATTCAGAATAAGTAGGAACAAGACTGAATACATGGAATGTCGTTTCAGCGGCCAGGAAACAAAATCAGAATTGGATGTTAGGATTGACTCTCACCTAGTACCTAAGGTAGACATGTTTCGATATCTTGGCTCGGTAATCCAGGCTGATGGGGAGTTAGACGAGGATGTTGGACATCGTGTTGGAGTGGCTTGGGCCAAATGGCGGTTGGCTTCAGGGGTGTTGTGTGATCCGAATATTTCGCCCAGGATGAGAGGTAAGTTCTACCGATCCGTAGTCAGACCTGCTATGTTATATGGGGCAGAGTGTTGGGCGGTTAAGAAGACTCATGTGCGTCGTATGCATGCGGCGGAGATGCGGATGTTACGATGGATGAGTGGGAAGACAAGGTGGGATAGGATTTCGAACGAAGTTATCCGACGTCAGGTAGGCATGGCGCCGGTGGAAGATAGGTTGCGGGAAGCAAGGTTGAGATGGTTTGGTCATGTGAGACGGCGGGATGTTGACGCCCCTGTACGGAGATGCAAGAGGATTACAGTTATCGGGGGAAGTAGGGGAAGAGGTAGACCTAGGAAGAATTATAAGGAGGTGATTAGGCAGGATTTAGGACTTCTCACCCTGACTGAGGATATGGCTTTAGATAGGAACCTTTGGAGAACTAGGATTAGAGTATCTGGATAGGAGCTCGGTGCTGCAGAGGTTTTTTGTAGTGTGTTGTGTTTGATTGGAATCTTTTGCTATTGCTTGCAAGACTTTCATTTCATTGTACTTGGTGTTTTAACTGTGTTATACTGTGTTCCCTACCATATTTTTTGTGCAGGTTGAGCCGGGGGTCTCTTGGAAACAGCCTCTCTACTTCCGAGTAAGGGCGAGGTCTGCGTATACACACCCTCCCCAGACCCTACTGTAGTGGGACTCAACTAGGTTGTTGTTGTTCTCTCCTCTTGCACTCCTTTCCCAAACCTGTCGCTGAGTTTGAAGCTTTGAACCCAAAACCGAAATCATCCTCCTCTCAATTGTTCGTCTTCCTGGTGTAGTCCAAAATCAAAATGAGTAACCTTCATGGATGAGTTTTAAGGTTTGTTTTCTTTGTAATATCTTGAGACAACCCATAAAATTCATCCATAAAGGTTATTGGTTTCGATTTTGGGTTCCACCAAGGAGATGACTAATTGTGAGGGGATTAATTATTTCGGTTTTGGGTTTAGAGCTTCAAACTCAGTGACGGGTTTGGAAATGAGTATGAGAGGAGCGAGGAAGCTTAATTGAAGAGAGAGAGGAGCGTGAATATACAATTTTATCAATGTTCTAATGAAAATGTTAACAGAAGACTATTTGTGGTAACAATATAATAATTGGGGACTAAATTAGTAATATTTGATCTGTATGGACTAAATATGATAACGGGAGACCTTTTATGGAATTTACTCATTTTTTTTAAAATAAAGAGTGTCATTGTAAGTGTTTTTTTAATTATATGTATTTTATTTTTTATTCATATGAGTTTTTAATTTAAATTAATCAATAATATAAAACAAACATAGAGTTGGGACAAAAGAGCAATAACATTACGAGTATTTTGGCCTGGTATGATAAAAGAAAAAATATGATATGTGACATGGAACAAGGCGGGGCCATAGTAAGCACGACTTTAAATATTCTAAGTCCATGTTCTTATCAACTTATTTTTTTAATAGTTACTGTTGGATTAGTGAATCCATGGGTAGAGGAAAAGGAGAAAGTGTATGAATTGAGTGGAGAAGATGATGAATAGTGTGGAATGAGTGTGTGTTGTATTAAGCCTCCTTCCCCGCCCCCTCTCCTCTCCTAAGAAGAGGGATATAAATAATAGGAGTTAGGGTTAGGGTTTGAGCCCATATACAAAATAATGGGTCGGCCCAACAGACTGGGTCGCCCCTAAATAAGTAATTAGTATACGGCTAACGGGCTGGTCCAACAGGCTGGACCGTCCCGACTAATATTGTACAAAGACCGCATACCCCATGTTCAGGGTATTCATCAGTTACATATTCTTATTCGAATCAGATTAGATCAGAAATAGCTTAAATATAACTATATTCAGATTAAATCAGATCAGACCAGGACTTATTTCAATTAAATCAGAATCATTCAGATCATGTGAGCACAATGCAGAACAGGCATTTACAACTCTCTTCAATTTTGATTTCTTGGCCCAATTCATGGCCAGCCTAGGAGAGGGCCGAGCAGACCAATCGGACCGGGCCCAAATTTTTTCATATGTATAAATGTTCTTCATTTATAGAAAATTATAAATCCCAGTAGTTTAAAGTGAGTGTCAAACCAGAGATACTTCATCCACTTAAGCTACTAAACTTATTGTTATGTCAGTCACGCAATAAGATACACACACACACACACACACACACACACACACACATACATACATACATATATATAGTCCATCCGTTTGGGAAAACCTTTTCCATTTTGACCAGAGGCCAAATTAAGGGAGTGTTGAATTATAGTTAACTTCTAATTTTGTATTTGATGTGATAAGTAAAAGTAAGATGTGATGGATAAATTATTAGAGAGAAAGTATGATGTGATATGCACGGTAAGAAAAAATATGGGTTAAAATGGTTTTTTAATAAAAAGTAAAAGTATTTTAATGGAACAGAAAAAAATAAAAGATAAAGTGTTTTGAGAAACACATGAAGTATATTTACTATATTGATTTTAACAAAACTTCCCACTTCTTGGAAAAAGAAACACAAGTACATCTAATATACTTTGTACTTGTTTAATGAAATTATAAAAATAGTTCAAAAAATTAAAAAATAAAAATTAATAAATAAATAAAATAATATGAATACTTTTAGGTAAAAAATAAATATTTTTTAATAAAAAATGGAGTACCTAAATTTTGTTGTCATCAATAAAAATTAAGAAGTATTTATTAATTATAATTTAATATATTAAAATTTTTTTTATTCTACTTTTTCGCATTTCAATCAACAATATAAGTGTAAAGTGTCATGGATTACAAAGTATTATGAAAAAAACACATTACCTAGCTTTTACTCTTTTTAAAATATGAGTATTGCCTTACTATCTTAGTACTTATTAGATATTCATTATTTATCTTTGATAGTAATAAAAAACAATTCAAATAGAAAATAGAAAATGTGATGGCATATGCAAAATATTATTGAAAATTAAATGGAAGAGTGAAAAACACAAATTAAATTTCTTATTAATTAAAAATATCTAATAATATAATACTCCCTCCGTCCCGGAGTATTTGTTCAGTTTTGACTTTTGGAATTGTTCATCTAAGCACTTTGACTCATCAAATTCTCTCAATGTGTAAGCCTAAATATAGTCATGTGTGATCTTGTTTGATTTGTCTTAACATATAGATTATTAATATATAATTTCTATAATTTTTTAATATACAAATTAAAGATAAAATGGATTAAAGAAGTGTATTGGATGGTGTGTAAAAATGAAAGTGGACAAATACTCTGAGACGGAGGTAGTATAAAATTTTATTCTTTTAATTATAGTTGACCGGGTTGTTGACCCTCGGATTGACTGATTAACACTTGACCCAGTAGCTTGTTTAGATCGACGTTTGGTCTAATTTTCAAGACATTGGTTTAGAAAGGTAAGTATATATTACCCCTTTACTATAATTTTGTATGTTATTTACTTATTTTGTTACATAGTATTATACTATAATGTTAATTTCCATTTAAACATAATTAGTTTATACATTTTGATTCATTAGGACATTAGAGATAATAAGATTTTTAGGATTTTTTTTCTATCTCGGCCCAGCCCATCGAATTTTCAAGGTCGGTCCTGACCCATTTCTATGCTCCGGGTATCCATCCATTTTTGTAAAGAGTGTTTCTATAGGACACCTTAGGTGCATACCAACTTTCTCATATAAAAAAATATCTTTTTTATTTTTTATTTAAAAAAATAAATGCTTATTTACCAACTAAGAAAATGTTTATTTTTCTGTTATGTAGGTGCTATGTAGGTGTAAGACCTTAGATCCACATTACAATTTACCTTTTGTAAAACCCATTTCATAGAGCAAATAGATTCTCCACCTCCGTTCCCCTCCTCCGCCAGGAAAGAATCCATCGCCGACGCCTCAGCCGTCGCGCCGATTCATTAACATAAATAAAAGATATACTTTCAGTCTCTCTAATGGCATCCTCTGCTTGGTCTAGCTTCCACATCTGTTCTCTCGCACGCCATTCTCAATGCCTCCCAACTCTATCTCCTCCTACCGCCTCCGCCGCCGCCAATGGACCTTCCCCCTTCACCAAACTGAAAACATCGCACTCAAACAGAATTACGTTTCTTCCTATCGAATTCTCATTATCTCCAATTACCGCAAATCGCTCGTCGGCCTTCGCCACAGCGGTGGCTGCAAGGAGCGGCGGCAGCGGAAGTGGCCAAATCTATAAGAAAGAAGAGAGCATAGAAGAGGATGTGGAGGAGGAATTGCCGTGGATACAAGAGAAGGCATTGGACATGGTTGAATTCACCAGTTCCGTCACTCAGGCAATTCCCGGGCCTCGCGTCGGTCGGAGCTCTTTGCCGTGGATTCTCGCTGTGCCGTTGGCTTACTTTGGCGTCACTTTTGTTATTGCCTTCGTCAAGACCGTCAGGAAGATGAATTCCCCTAGAGCAAAGCGTCTCAAATTGGTACTCATTTCCTCACTAGTTTCTATTCCATTCTTTCTTTCCTTATTAATTAACTTGCAGTTTTAATCAATATATGCTTTCTTTTATTTGATAAAGCAGCAAAACTATGTTTTGTAATGCTGGATTAATTATTTTCTGGAATGCGAAAGCTAAGTCTTTCTAAACAGATCATGGCACCAAGAATAATTTCTCAATGGGTTGGTGTTTGCTTGATTATTAGGGAAAAATGAATGCTCAAGATGAGCGCCATTAGGGTATTTTCTCTCCAAATCATGTATCATGTACAATAAGAACAAACAAGTTGAATCCCACAAGAGTAGGGTCTGGGAAGGGTATATGTACGCATACCTTACCCCTACTCGAAAGTAGGGAGGTTGTTTCCATTGAGACCCCCGTCTCATCGTTGAAAGTTGCATTGATTGACTAATTGCTACTTCATTAATAAAAGAAGCGCAAACTGTTTAGAGATCCATTTTGCTTTATTCCATCACACCCCAAAGCCAAAAAATAGTGAAATTTTGGCCAAAAAATCATGTATAATATATGCAAGATAATACTCAGTAAAGGGGAACTCCCTGCAACATTTTTATTCTTCCAGTTTTAGAAAAAGATAGTAGATAATTGCTGGGCATAGTGGCATACCAAGGGAATCACCATTAACATGTCATTATTAAGTGCTATGTAGCATCTTATCATTTCTGGATCACATGAGGTCCAAGCCTAAACATATTTGGGTACTTTACTGCAGTTCATTTGCTGTGTATATTAGTGTGGAGTCACCTTCCATTATGCTTTTGGTTGATATGTAAAGACTTCATAATTTCTAATTGTATTCAAGTGTCTTTGCTTGACAAGAGCCCTATTTTCAGGTTAACAAAAATGTTTTTCTTTGCAAATCAATCGATGAGCTGTTTGAGAAAGGACGACAGCACCTTGATAATTCAGAGTTGGAAAAATTGATGCAAAAGGTAATTTATAAGCATGCATTCATATACTACAATCTAACCGGCAATTATTCACTCAACAATTTTCTGTTATCCTTTTTCATTGTACTTGCATGATACCTTATTGTATACTTGTATTGTTTCAAAGCGTTTTTGTTTAATTTTTGCATGGATGGTTTTGTAAACCTTACTTATCCAAAACATCCATACCAAGGAGGCAATGACTGTGTTTCGATGTCGATCTGCTCAATCTTTTTTCTACACTCAGAGAATTGTGTTTTCTGTGCTTTCTTTGTACGCTGAGCAAGTGGTATCTACATTATTATTTATTGCTGAAAAATTCTGACAAAGTTTGTGTGCTTTTGCAGACAAATTTTGATATGGAGAATATTTTGCGCAAATATATTCGATATGCTTTAAATGAGAAGCCATTTAATCCAGATTTGATAGCTGATCTAATTCAACTTAGGAAGGCCTCACAATTAAATGATTTTCAAGTAGCTGGGGTTGTGAATGAAATCTCAAGACGTATTGTGAAAGACAAAGGTAATAGAATAATGTGAAAGACAAAGGTAATAGAATAATATAATTTGATCAATCATTTTTAATTTATATTTTCACATTCTTGGGCTTATTTTTTGCCAATATAAAATCCATGTAGCCCATGTTAGAAGACTAATTAGTACTATCATTATGTAGAGAGCCTAAAATCACACAATTCAACCAACAACCAATGCAGTTTATTCCCACAAGTTTTGTTTTGTTTTGGTGGGGTGGGGGTGGGGGGTGTAGACCTTACTCCCTACAATATGATATAAATGGCTAATGTTGAGTGATTTGAATTAAAGATATTCATACTCTGTATTATCAAATTGCACTGCTGGGGTCCTCCTAAATTATGCTTTTTCAAGAATAAGCATCTCCTAAATAGGATATGTGTGCCAAGCTAAATGAATTGACTGCAAATTACTTGCCTTCAAATTTAGAGAGAAGGAAATAAAAGACTACTTAAAATGCCAATATTGCAGGTCCAGTGCCTGTTGCTAACAAATAAAATTTTGTTGGTATGAAGATACTATTTTTTAATTACATCGAGGTGGAGTGAACTTTATGTCTATGCTGCATTGGGTTTTCATAGTGCAGGGTTTGATTTCCATTGAATTTGTAGTGGTTAAATATGAGTGTGAAACGGTTTTGGATTTGAATAAACGTGTACTAAACACCATCTATTTGAATTTTCAGGTCCTGTTGTCATGGACATGTCAGGCTATTCTGAGAAGGGCTTCAAGAGAAAACTTGCGGTGCAAACTCTATTTGGAAAGGTTTATTATTTGTCAGAGGTAGGATGCTCAACTCTCACTATGGATCTTGGTGGCTACATTTTTAAACTTTGTTTTTTTCAGAATTTTTACATTAACTTAACTTTCCTCATCCCTAAATGGGAATAAAATGCATTTGTCTCCCCGTTGGGAGTACGGGTGCACGCAAACCCTAATCATGAAATCTGTGCCTAGTCAACTTTTGGTTTGATCGTCAAGTAATTACTACAAAAGGCATATATTACACACTTCCAGATTATTCAAATCATTATTGCAACTTCATTGATGAGCAGCAAAACAGATGTCAGTTTTCTTTCGATCTTCTTTTTCATCTTTCTTTCTACGCACATACCATTACAACAACTATAACAACACACCCAGTAAGATCTCACAAAAAGTATAGGGTTTGGGAAGGGTGTTTGTACGCCGACCTTACCCCTAATCGAAAGTAGAGAGGGTGTACCACTGTTTTTCCTATTTTCACCTCCTCACTGCCACCACGGCATTCCTCCTTGCCGAAGGCATACCAACTACTGGGTCCACATTCCTTGTGGTCATCTTTTTCCACATTATCATGTGGCTTGGTTCTTGAACTCAGGATTTAATTTATCCCTGAAATAGAAGATGGAAAGCATTTACTTGGTTTCAGGATTTAGACCCATCCAAGCACTTTTTTCATGATCAAGGAATCTGCCAGGCCTTATTATGGTTCTCATTCCATTATGACTATAATAAGTATCCATTGCTTATCCAGCACTTTTCTTTCTTCTCACATAAGCCGATCCCTCTAGTTTCATCAGCATCATCTTCATCATAACCTTAATCCGAACTAATAGGGACAAGTGGCGTGAATATTGTGGTGTGAAATACCTCTGTCAACATATAATTTCATGCCAAAAAAATGTGCCATAGTTAGACACCAAACAACTTTCCCGCTGCAACCATTTTTAAGATGGAGTGATTGGATGAAATTCAAAAACCGTCATAGTTTATCTCCACTTGCATGAAAAGTTAATAAGACTGCAGCACCTATTTAAGAGAACATGTTAAGAATATTTATTGATATGGGTATGAGTTCTAGATGGGATAATGCTTTTGTATTTATGCAGATAATAGCTCTCCAGTGCTCCATTTTGTTACGTAGCCTTTATTAGCTCGTAGCCAAACATCAGGCATTATAGTAGACAAAGCAAAACTTGTTTTTATGGCCTTCTGATTTCTTGCCTTGGACAGTCATTGATGAGTATTATTGATGTTTCAGCGAATTGCGAAAAAAAAGCAACATTTACTGATTGGTTTTCTTCATATTTTGTCATCAGTTGCCAGAGTTTTGCTCAAGGGATAGCTCCTTAACTGTCAAAGAACTTTTTGGGGTAGCAGAGTAAGTACTTGCATCCATTCCATTTCACCTTAATGATACACTCTATACATGTCCACTGATCTCTCTTTGGTTCCTAGCGAGGATGCCGAAAAGCTTAGACTGCACACTGTCCCAGACGTTGGGGACGTGGGGTCATTGGAAAAGATGATCGATGGCTCTGATTCGGAAGATTCAACAGACGAGCCTTCTAATGCTTCCTGATTGCTGTAAATATTGTTGCCAGAGAACATTGTGGTTCATGGCAAGTGGTTGGGGTGACTAAGTAATGGAGTGAAGTGTAAAAGTGGTAAAACCCCCTCTTTTCTTTTTCTTTTTCTATTTTTTTTGAAGGCAACATGAAATTCATTATTAAATCAAAAGATGAGAAACAAAGTCCATGGGAGATGAAATCCACAAGGAGGGCTGAGTGCCTGCTCTATGTGCGAGCGTACGAGCGATACAATTAGCTTTCGGAGGAACATGGGAAATCATAAAGAAAAGAAACTCGACTTTAATAGCCTTAGGGTTTGTTTGGTACACAGAATTCAAATTATGGAATTGGAATTGGAGATAATAATTTATTTTTTTTGAGATAATAATTTCAATTTTGTTGTTTGGTAACATAAGAATATGTGGATTTAGAATTGGTAGTACCAAAAATATATTGAAATTGGAGAATTAAATTCCATTTGAATCAATTCCATAGAATTTCATTTCTCAATTTAATTCTAATTCCATCAATTTCGTGTACCAAATGGACCTTTATATGTTTGGTATACGGAACTGATGAAATTGGAATTTAAATTCCATGGGATTCAAATTCTACCATTCCTATTAATTTTTTGTACTATCAGTTCCAAAATTCACAGAATTATTGTGCTACCAAACATCAGAATTGAAGTTGAAGTCTTCAGTTCCAATTTCATAATTTGATTTTTGTGTATCAAACGAGGCTTTATAGTCATGCAAACAAAGATCTTTTTTTTGAAGGCAACATAAACTTCATTATTAAATCAAAAGATGAGAAACAAAGTCCATGGGAGATGAAATCCACGAGGGCTGAGTGCCTGCTCTATGTGCGAGCATATGAGCGATACAAATAGCTTTCCGAAGAACATGAGAAATCATAAATGAAAAAAACTCGACTATAATAGCCTTAGGCTCCGTTTGGTACACTTGAATTCAAATTATGGAATTGGAATTAGAGACAATAATTCCAATTTTGATGTTTGGTAACATAAGAATATGTGGGTTTGGAATTGGTAGTACCAAAAATGTATTGAAATTGGAGAATTCAATTCCATCTAAATCAATTCTATAGAATTTCAATTTTTCAGGCCCACCTCACTGCAGTTTCCGGTGAAGGAATGTTGCACTCCCACATCACCTTGTTACGAGCTTTCCAAATTGCCCAATTAGCTCCGGCCACCACTTTGATTTACGTTCATTGCACTAGTCTCTTTAATAAAAGGGCAATGCCACATGCTAGGGTGTCTAAGTATGACTCCAAGCTTGTCTCATGCTTCACAGTGGCAATGACACGATTCATTTTCTGTGTGTGTGTGTTTATGAGAAGGTGAAAGTAAATTTGGGGGTTAGTCGCATACCCTTGAGTGTCCAAACATGGGGTCGGTCACCTTGGGTGTCCTTAGGTCCGGTTCTTAGATTTTGCAAGTCCTGTGGAAATGACATGTGAGTGTTAAAAATCTAAATCAAAGTTGAAAGTACATAGTGATGTACCGGGACATACCCCTACAATTCAACAAAACAAAAGGTAAATGATAAAAAAAACTGCCAATGACAAAGGAAAATATATCAACATTTAAAGCTTCATTTTCCATGTGGATACATTTTATTTTTTCGAGGTTTTTTGGGCAATGGTAGAATGGTGTACCCCTAATAAAAACACCAAATCAAATGAAAAATTCAAATCGGTTCAAATTTAGAAAAACCTAAATCACAACCAATTACTTTTTTTTGTTTCAAATTAGATTAAAATTTTACACATACGAGGCAAAATACCTCTTATTTTAAAATTAATATATTTAAAAATAGGGAAATTTACCTAAATAATGCTAAAACATAGTGACTTTCCTAATGTACTACCATATGTTTTATTTACCAGTGTAGCACAATTCTTCAATGTCCATCGGTCATTGTTCAAGGGAGAAAGACCAAACTAAGACTAAAACATTAAAAATATACCAAAATAGGATTTCCATGTTTTTATTCCCGAAATAGGACTTATATTACCAAACATGGTCATATACATTACCAAAAAGTATAGTAATTTGCACATGTACACTGCTACATTACTACAATGCAAAGTCACATTACCACAGTGCAAAGTCCTATTCCGGGAAAAAAACACGAAAGTCCTATTTTGATATTTTTCTCTATGTTGGGATTTAGTCCTATTCAGAATGATTTCTATTCAAGTAAATGTCTAGCGCCACTAGACATTGCTCAAACTATATGTCCACCATCACTGGACATTGTTCCCTGCCACTAGACATTAAGTACTATTTACAGAATAAAAAAGTTTAAGTATTATATTGGAAAAAGACATCTATTTTAGTACTATTTAGTGTAAATATCACTTAAAAATTAAGTGATGGATTCTAAAGACAGGGGTAGCACAAACTATAGAAAGATAAAGCTTGTAATATGAATTGAATAACTCAAAACCCGATCCCCAACCCTTTGGATGGGGCCTTATTTTTATACATCTGATTTTGGACCGTTAATCCCATATACCTAGTCAATGAGGCTCATGGTGTCATGGGCTCCCTTAATTACATTTGTCTTGTTCTTATGACACATCACCTTCCTCCCATTGTCCTTTGACCGTGCCCAATGACAGGTGACGTTCCTTAGCTCTGGTTACTGACCCATGTGGTTCACGAGGGGCTGACTTCCCGTCCAGGCATTCGATGCTGGGGGAGCCCCGTAGGTCGAGCTTAATGCCAATCTCTTTGGTTGATCGGGTGGGGCAAAGGCGTACGCCCAACACGACAAGGTCAAGTTGAGGAGGATCAAAAACGGACCAAGCGCGGCAATTCCATGTGGTGGCCGAGCTCATCCTTATAGGCTTGGGGGCTAAGCCCATATCTCCATCAATACATAAGTATAAGAATAATTAATAGAATTTACATATTTAAAAAAATGGTAAAATTTACATATTTAAAATGACACCAGTGTCATTTGCTTACATCAGTTCGTTTGGGGTATCTACGGCGCTCCGTTTGTAAAAATGACGGTTCCTACCCCTCTAACCCCCCCTTCTAAACCCCCCATCCCAGCCTCACCCTTGCCCCCTAGCCCAGCCCCCTCCCCCTCCATACTCTGGCAGTATACTGTCGGAGTTGAGAGGGGGGCGGGAGGGGGTTGAGATGGGGGGTTTAGAGAGATAGTTAGTGGGTAGAGCTCCGTAGGTACTCCAAATGAACTGATGTAAGCAATTAATGTGTAAGTAACTGGTGTTATTTTAAATGCTCCTTTCAAAAAAAATATCAAAGAATATTTAAAGAAAAGGATACATCATATTTAGGTAAATAAACAAAATTTACTCAAAACTCTCCTTAAGAAAGTGAAATTCTTTTGAACTCTTCGCCTGTATGTTGATGTGTACTCTACATTTTAGTCGTTGGCAGGCGGAGAAATCCATGGGGATTGGGAGTTGTAAATGTTCTGCGGAAGAACCTTTACAGTCGACTGAATTTCAATCGTTGAATCGGTTCGCCCGAAGAACAAGAAGGAAATGATTCAACAATGTCGTTTCTCCAGAACTCCGACCTGTCCTCCTCTCTTCAGCAACGGTTCCAGCAGCGGCAATCAAAGTCTCTGCAATTCGCCTTCTTCGTTTTCTTGCTTTAGACCCAGATCTGCTAGTGGAGGAGTGGCAATCAGCCGTGAATCGACGGATGATGACAAGAGGGAGGCGAAATCGCAGCCCTATCCCGGCGGAATGGGACCGTTTACCGGAAGAGATCCGAGTGTCAAGAAGCCGGAATGGCTGCGGCAGAAGGCTCCGCAGGGGGAGAAGTATCGGGAGGTGAAGGAGACGTTGTCTGGGCTCAAATTGCACACCGTGTGTGAGGAAGCGCAGTGCCCTAACATCGGCGAGTGCTGGAATGGAGGCGGAGACGGCATTGCCACGGCCACCATCATGCTCCTGGGCGACACCTGCACCCGCGGCTGCAGATTCTGTGCAGTGAAGACCAGCCGCAATCCTGCTCCTCCAGATCCATTGGAGCCTTTACGCACTGCACAAGCTGTTGCCAGCTGGGGGTAAGGGGTACCCCATTTTCGCCAGCTTTCAACTCTACCAAAATCATACCCATTTGTTACTACTCATTTGAAGTATGAAATTTGGATTGATGATGCAATGGATATTGAAATCGATTGCCCCTTCCTGTTAGTGGACAGCTTAGACAATAATCCTTAAATTTAAAGGTTTAGGACTCATTGAATCTTGGATTAACACGACTACATGTTGTCAGATATTTGGCTTTATTGTGCCTTGTAAAAGGAGCCTTGATTGGAATATTACATGCTTTATCATAACTCGTGATTTCATCTTGCAGTATGGACTATATTGTTTTAACCAGTGTAGATCGAGATGATTTACCTGATGGTGGGAGTGGCCACTTTGCTGAAACTGTTGGGGCCTTAAAGGTAAACACTTGTGCCTATGTATCATGACTTAGCTGTCTTTCATGAACAAATTTCTTCACTTGCTTGGGAAGATGCAAATGTACAGCTTCATGGAAATGATTATATACCTGTATAGGCAGTATATGTAAAACTGGTCTCATGGGCAGGGTAGTGTATGTGACATTTCTTGTTCTTTTGACAGATTCTTAAGCCTGCCATTATGGTCGAGTGCTTAACATCTGATTTTCGAGGGGACCTGAAAGCGGTAGAGACTCTAGTTAACTCTGGATTGGATGTTTTTGCACACAACATTGAGACTGTGAAACGGCTTCAACGTATAGTCAGAGATCCGAGGGCTGGGTAAGCTTGTGAAATTTTTCCCTTCCTCAAACTGTGTCAATGGCTGTGGGTGTTTGACATGTAATTGCTATGTTTTGTTTTCTTTCCAAGAAGAATGCATTTTCAGAAAGTAACCATTATTTGGTGATTCTAATTTGCTTCCCACAGAAGAAGCGAAAATAGACTAAATGTGTTACCATCATTGCACTCAAGGTGTAAAAGTGATGCATTTTGAGTGCTTTTCATAGTGGTATATATAAGTTTCAGCATAATGTTTTTTTATTATTGAAAACATCTTAACATCATGAACTCTACTAATGAAAGCAATTTATGAATGTGCAGCGTCATACCTTTACCTTCTATAACATCATCTAAGGAAACTGTCCCACAAACCATGCCTGATCACTCTGTACTTAGTGTTCATTTTCTGAACAATAAATTTGTAATATTACGTGGAAGTAAACGATGATGCAAAAATAACTGAGAAGGACATGGTCCACCATGTTTCTGTGATTTCTTTAATAGACTTTGACACATACTGGAATAGTAGTAAACTCCATGGTCAATTTGGATTTTTTGGTGTGGGTTAAGTGAAAACAAGATGTTCAGAGGCTCAAAGCATAAGAAAACACTTCATATTTTAACCTGAGTATAAATAGTTTCTGCCACTAAATGAGGAAGATACCCTGGCCTACATCTACTTTCCCAACCTATATTTCTCTCATTACGTTCCCGGATAAAGTTTTGGGGACATTTTATGGTCCCTTATTGGAGCTAAATTAGGCTAGCTAACCTTTTGTTATAAGTGATTTTAGACTTGCTGGGTCAGACACTGTTACGAGCACACTAGTGAGGATAAAAGAAGATATAGAAGATGCTAGCCTTCCTTGCTAATGGCTGGAAGGAGGGGAGAGAGTTTTGACTTCAACCCTATTTTTTAATAGAACTGTTGAGTATATGTAAAAGATTTTAGCAAAGCCTTACATTAGACCTACCATAATAATACTAGGAAACTAAGCAAAAGATTCTCTTAAGAACATTATATTTTTAACTAAAATAGAATATAACTACTAATAGGAAACTATGACTAGTTAATAATAACAAGGTTATGTTGACACCCATTTTGGGTGTCATATTATGACACCGGTCAAATTGAGTCACCTACGGTAATCCGTTCGAAGATTGATGGTTCCTACACCCCATAACCACCCGGAAACCCCCACCCCGGCCCGACCCGAACTCATTCCCAGTTCCTCATCCATGTCAATCGAGCCCCCCAATTTTAGTTGACTTGGTGGGCTCAATTGACTGGGGTAGGGGGGGGGGGAGTTCAGGTCGAGCCGGGTGGGGGTTAGGGGGATTTAATTGTTCCTGTCGGGCTTCTGCATCACCGACTCACCAGAGTGTAATTTGATTAGTTACTCCAATAATAATCCTGTGATAGGTAATAAAAGTGAGGGTTTTAACTCTATACTAGATATTGAAAGACTTTTGAGTATGTAATATCCTGAGCTGATATGTAGTCTGTCCTGTAGGGCGGATAAGCCAAAGGCTTGGGGTTGGAATATATCTCTAAATGCATTGGCAGGCTGATAACAACTTGGAA